TATATAGTATTCTGAAAGTGTTGAATTTCGACACAAGCTAACACTTATTCTCAATCTGAGATACCAATGGATATACGAACGACAATAGGATTACTGAGAACAACGGTCCAGTAGATTGATGACAACATCACATTGTAACACGAGTGCGCTGTATTCGCGTCAGTATAACTTCAGTACTGTAACAGTATCAGTATGACAGCATTAGTATACCAATACTAGTATAACAACATTGCCATAGCAACGGTGTCACAACAGCCTCGTGTGACATACCCCATGACCTAGCAGTGGAGAGCGATCGGTGGGGCTACGCTCCATGGTGCTGTCTGAATCATTAAAGCTCATGCACGTAATATACACGTAGTCTCACGAGGAAGTATGGTATAACGTAAAGAAATAGACGGAAGCCCTTTTCTCTGTAACTACTTCAGACTTTGACCTCACAGTACAGTATGTATTTAATTTTATTATTATATACTTTAGTGTTGAGGTTGGAGACCCCAGTTTTACATCAGATCAACGTAAAATATTTATGAAGCACATCATATCACAAACATCATCATATTCATATACTATGTATTTTTGTTACGACTCTGCAGTCTGCACTCGGAGTCACTCACGGCCACTGGCCCACAGTGCTGCTGTTAAATAGCCGCAATCCGTTACAGCTGGCCACTCTAAAAAGTTGAACGTAAATGCTTACTACTCCGGTTTACAAACGTTAAACGTTCATACAACGCAAAAGACTGGACAAAAAAATAGACCTATTGCGTGAATGAAAGATATTCTATAGATAAGCTCTGAGCCATTTGTACCTTAGGGCTCCGAATACGCACCTGTAGCGACCACCAAAGGGAAGTAGGGAACCATCAAGATATAGACGTTGAACGTAAACGTGTACAAAAGTGCTGAACCATTTGTACCATAGGGCTCTGAACATGTACCCACACTGATATCCAAAGAGGGCCACGACATAGACGTTGAACGTAAACATGTATTTGTTCAAAGGCTAGTAGGTTGTACGTTTTCTCACAAAACGTATTGGGAGTCGTACATATTTTCGCGAAATATTAAAATATTTATAGAAATAAATAAACAGCTGGCTTATCTTTTTTTCCAAGAAAACCTTGATACCAAAGTGAGCACTGAACGCAATTCGATTGGTTAGAACTCGGTCATCAAAATTTTAAGTACGTTTTCCGTTCTCCGTTTTCGGCTTTTCGCCGTTTCAGGAAGTTTTGGTGTGGAGACTTGGGGATATTTTTGCAGTATCAGTTTATCACACTATATGTAGCTCAAATGATAGATATAGCCTACGCATAGCCCATATAGAGTCATGGACTCTCAAGTCACAGACCCGCCAAGCCGGGACTACCGTAGGCCTTCATCTATTTATTTTGATAATGAATGTAGTATACTATATATAAATATCAATCAATCAAAGGCTTTAGACGGCTATGCATGACGCAGCCAACTAAAAAAAGGCAAAGGTTTGTAGGGAGTAATAAAAGGAAGAGCTTGATAATATATGCTTTTTATGTTTTTTGATCTGTTGTATTGTGTACAAATATGTACAGCTGAGTTTGCGCATAAAGAAGCACAACAATCCGCATAACGCTTCACATTTCAGAATCGAATGTTAGAAGCAGAACAATCACAAAATGGATCAACAAGGTACCGTCTGACTTGGGTCGAGCGCAATCCATTATGAGTGTACACGAGAGTGTGTTCCAATTGTTCGTTAGTACATGCGTAACAGTCATAAGTATCGATTGCACCTTGACGCCTTCCGGGATATGCAGGACTAACAGTATGCATCAATCGCGTAATCGTATACGGATCGCTCTGTATCCAATCTCACTCACCTTCGATCATCTGTCTACGTACGAATACTTCATACTCTAAGCGCTTGATGTTACTTACGATTCTCTATGCATATAGGAGGACTACTACGCAGATTATCTGACGCGATGGCGCCACAAGATGGCGAGAATTGGGACCCCTCATCGTATGACCCACCTGTCAATCCCACCGGACTAGACGTATGTATATCTACGTGCTAAACTCTACACTATCAGCGCCTCACTACAAGATTGTCCATTCATCATCCTTATTACCATTTGCGAAATTAATCGGTTTTATAGTCATATCCGTATATCGATATTTTGAATCCTTTAATCACTTGTCAAGAACGCTATATCTTTCATACTGTTGCACCAGTGAACGTGCACGAATTGAACTATGGTATTTTTGGCGTGCTTGGGATACTAGGTCGACACACACAGAATAGAATACACCTTTCTCAACGTAATGATAAACAAGCTTCAGTTAGTGAATCTAATCTTTAACTAACACCACTGTATTTCCGACCCTCAACAACATCACAGAGCAAGGACGCGTCCGAATTGATGCGACGAGTTTCAGACGCGATCGCTCCGTCTGAGATGTTTGACAATCCTTCCACCTAAGCACCACCTGTTCTCCGAGCTTTCACGACTGAACGAGTACTTCAACACGTATGGTACCCACCTGTGTACTCAAGGTGTGCAGGTCGGTGCTAACCTTAAGCATGTGCGTGACTGAAGGCAGGAAGGATCGCTGGGAGCTGTCCACGCGGGCAATGTTATAAATCTCATTTTAAAATCGAGAGACGAATGTCAATAAAGAAAAAGAAACGGAGTCCAAACTACAGATGTCCCTATTTGTATTCAGTAGAAGTTATGGAGGGTACTCTGTAGCATATATCTTGCGATTGAGTGAAATTGTGCCTTTCCCACTGTTTCGACAGTAGTGGTATACTAGATACACGCGTACGTGCACAGCAATTGTGATATATTTAGCATGGGTGTGACTACGTACGTGTAAAGCAATTGTAGTATGTTTAACATGGGTGTGACCACGTAAGTTCAATCAATTGTAAAATATATGCATGGGTGTGACTTCGCACGTGTAAAGCAATTGTTATATATATTTCGCATGGGTGTGACTGTGTACGTGAAAATTATATATTTAGCACGGGTGTAACTACGTACGTGTAAAGCAATTGCAATATTTTTAGCATGGACATGACCACGTAAGTGCAAAGCAATTGTTATAAA